CCTCCCTACCGTCTTCACCCGAATAGAACGCCCGGTCATTATAGCTGCATTTGCCCCAACTTTCAGTCCCGATGCAGCGATAATGACCGGGTGTTCTATTCGGGTGAAGACGGTAGTTCTCAACACCACCACTGAACTTAGGCTTGTAACTGCCACTCTTAAGTCCCTGACCTCCATGTTTCTAGCTACCTTCAGCTGTCATTGCTGTTGCTCTGTGCAGCATCCGCTCTCCACCGCGAGGACCATGCAAAGACAACAAGAGTGTCCCCCTCTGCCAATACTCTGTCACAAGTTCTCACAATCACCGATTAGATTAGCACCAATAGATTGGAGCTTAAAAAAAAAAAAAAAAAAGAAGAAGATTAGCTCTGTGGCTTCTAGCTGTACTCATGTGCACATGATCGTTACTTTAATCTACTTTCTAAGTGTGTGAGAGAGCAATACGCTCCATGACTTGACTTAGGCTAGACGTCTTCACACACTACCGAGTCCGCCGCGCGACAAGATGTGCAAGTGCAAAAACTGGTGGTCAAAAAAAAAAAAAAGAGGGCGTTGATCAAGCCGAGAGCCCTCAGCCTCCCAATTCAACGATCACTTGCGGAAAAAGGAAGCCTACTGTACTAATTTGTACTGATTCGACTCTTATAATGACTCCTATTGAAATACACAAAAACTAGTTTCTGGACCCAGGATCGAGCCCATCTCTTCTGGGCCGCCGCCTGGGCCTAGAGCCAGGCAGGGGCCCATCTGGTGGCATCCCGCCTGGGCCCACATCCAGGCAGGGACCCAGCTTCCTGGCCCTGGCCAGGCACGGACAAAAGAGTTTCCAACCTTGTGGGGGCCCACCTGGGCCCAAATCCATGCAGAGACCCATCTTCCTGGCCCTAGCCAGCCATGGATCAAAGAGTTTCCGCCCTGTGGGGCCCTGGTTGAGTGCACAGCAAAGCAAGCCTACTGTCCTTGGCTTGCCCATGCTGTATATTTGCCCTCCCACATTGTAACATAAGTACAAGGCAGCCAGAGGGCCATTAGCTTTGGCTTTGGCCATGTGGAAACCATCAGATATAGCCTTGCTGACAAAAACGGGACATAAAAAATCCTCCACTTCTATGACTGGACTGGAACTGGAACTGGAACTGGAACTGGCTATAAGTCACTGATAACTGCACTGGAACTGGAACTGAACTGGAACTGGAACTGGCTATAGCTACACTGGAACTGGAACTGGAACTGCAACTGGCTATAGCTATAGCCCACTAATATCCGTGCTGGAGCTGGAGCTGGAGCTGGAGCTGGCTTTTAGCTATAGACCACCGATAACTCTTGAACTGGCTCTCACCAATGAGTCACCATTATATAAACGCTGAGCACAGCAGCGTAGTACAGATCTGTCAGACTGAAAGTCCGAAACACAATCAATTAGGAAACTCCACTGCCAGGATTGCTGTATATACAGTGACCCTACCTCCACGCCCTACCACTCCCATCTCCCACATGACTGCCAAAGACAAACAATGGACGGATGCCTCGATACACACCACTCACTCGATGACTCAACACCCTCTTGAGCCAGTGCAATATGAAAACTACCAACCGCAAGCAAGGCTTGATTGGTCGGATGCCAAATGATTGACACATGCTAATTTACAGACTCCTACAATGAATACAGTCAACTTATCAACAACAAAGCCATCTTATCCACACTTCTCACATGACAAAGGATCGGGAGGGAGGGCACTTCCTAATCTCCGCCACACCCTGATGCGGCCACGTCAACAAATGTCATCTTTCTTCACCTTTATCTTCGGCAGTATCAACATGGACATCAGCTCCTGGAAGAGAAGCTTGCAAGCATATGGAAGGTGGATCTGACCATTCAAAAAAGGACACACAAAACCAGCAGACAAAAAACAGATAACACAAGCATCAAGCTCAATGCAACTGCCAAAAATTTGCAATCAAATTAATTTCCATTTTCTGGCAGTTGTAGTCTTTCCGGAAATTTCAGTGCATTCAATCAATCGAGCCCTTTTTGCTTTAAATTTTGTTACCACCAGTCCAACCGAAAGTACTGTTCATCGCCGACCCTGCCCCGCTTGGGAGTGGGCCGGTACTGCTTCAACAGGGCAGAGCCCCTCCCTCATATGCCCATGAAACAAAAAGCGAACGGACAGAAAGTTCAGTGGGCGGTGGACAGACAACTGAGACAAGGCCAAGGGACAAAAAAAACAATGCATAGGCACACCACGTGCGCGCACACACACACACACACACACACACACGCACACACACACACACACACACACACATGCTTTTTCTGTGTCAGTAGGACGCCCAGTCAGTGTAGCTGCATCTGGACAGAAAATTGCCCCAGTACAAAAAGCGAACGGACAGAAGTTCAGTGGGCGGTGGACAGACAAGGCCAAGGGACAAAAAAAAACAATGCATAGGCACACCACGTACACACACACACACACACACACACACACACACACACACACACACACATGCTTTTTCTGTGTCAGTAGAACCCCCAGTCAGTGTAGCTGCATCTGGACAGAAAATTGCCCCAGTACAGCTATAATGACCAGGCACAAGTGCAGGTCACACACACACACACACACATACAGATGCACCAATGCACGAACACACGTATGCACATGTTCACACACACGCATATAGACACACAGAGTGACAAGACAACAACGACAAAGAGGGCCTTGACGACTTTGAAACAGAGAGAAAGAGGAACTTAACATGACAGAGATGACGACGATGATGATGATGATGATGATGATGATGATGATGATGATGATGATGACGACGATGGACGGCTGACAATGATGATGATGATGATGATGACGATGGACGGCCCTGACCACCTTAGCACAATGACAAAGAGGACCTTGACGACCACAACCACAACACCGATGTCAATGACCAGGACACCTTTCTTTTTTGGCATTGTTGTTATTTATTATCATTATTATGTAATGAATATTTTAATGAATTGATATTGTTATTTAGAATTTATAATATGCATTATAGATCATGTATTCTATTCTTAGAATATACCATACACATAAATAAATATGTATCTACATTATATATGCATATGTTGGTATTTTTTAAGCGAA